AATATATATATATTTCATTTATATCCAGTTAAAACTGGTGTGTGTGTGTGTGTGTGTGTGTGTGTGTGTGTGTGTGTGTGTGTGTGTGTGAGTGTGTGTGTGTGAATATCTGGTTATGCAAATGAATGAAAGAATAAGAATTTGTGAACTTGTTGGTTTGAGCCTTGAATAATAAAGGTGGAATGGAGGAGAAAGAAGGTAGTTCCAGATTACCTGTGGACATATAAGACCGTCAATTGTATGTGATAAATGTAAATACAGCGTGAAATTATCGGTTTTCCTACATAAGACTGAGAGTGGTAAAACAGTCTAAAGAAGGGTGTGATGATACGTCGAAATTTTGGAACATGGGATAACATCGAGATCAGACACAGACAAGATTGAACACAATCTACACAGTTGGAAATATTCAGGAAAATAGGGGTGATGCGATACGAAGTTCAATTTAAGGTATAGCGGTTGGATACGTGAGAGATGAGAAAGCAGCTGGCTTTGGGTTTGTACTTAAACATTCTAAGTGGTTAGAAAATTATTGGAGGGAGAGGTCGCCTTTCTCGTTTAACGGCTGTGGATATTGTGGATTCCCCTACGTTTGCGAGCTGTTCAGCGTGGATTTTGATAAAGGGATGTAAAAATACAGGTGTTTAACAGAAGAAATAAAAACGACCGAGAGAGGTGAGAGCGAACAAATAAACCGATAGGGAGGCGAAGGAAGAAAACGATATGTTGTTAGTAAGAAACAAAATGTAGTTCTAGACCCATGTGTCATTGATTATAATAATAATAATAATAATAAACAGAAATTTATGTTTAAATTGGAACTAGTCACTTTCCAATAGAAATAAGTAGAACCTTAATAAAGTTGAAAGGACAAAGTCTCTTCGATGTCCCTAGATGTCGCCGCAAGCCATCTGTCTAAATAACAGACGACACTGACTTAAGAGATTATCGTCGTTTTTAGTATCAGAAGTTTCAGATACCCGGTTGTTTTGGATCAGGTAAAAAAATATAGCAAGTGTTTTTTGTTGTTGTTTACGTCCCTCTTATACTAAAACATTACGTTGTAAAACAGCTAAATAAAGGTTGTTTTTTTTCCAGAAATAGCAAAATTGCTTTCATATTTTCTATAATTAGAGTAATACACTTTGGTTGTATTATTCTAAACCTTAGCTGAAATGACAACGATCCAATAATTTCATCAGGGAGCAAACGAAAATAACTTACTAGCTGCATCATAAAGTCCAAGTCTGCTACGACACTGCTTATGTACCTGTTCTAAAAGGCTTTTCTATGCTTAAACAACAGTCCAAGTTAGTGCTTATTATTAGGATGAAATTTAACAAACATTAGACGTTAGCTAGATATTTGGTATTTTAACTTCGTAATTTAGTTCTAAGATAATCATTAATATTTTTGGTATTAAAAGTAATTAAAGTTCTTGTACGATTTATATATTTATACATTAATGAATTTGTTAATTTTGAATTTCTCGATGGTATAAAAATATAAGAGATGTTATCAGTTCTGATGTATATTAATGTTTTCAATAACTTTTACTAATAAGCTTATGATATTCCTATGTTTGTAAGCGTTTCACCTGATGTTGCTAGCCCATATCTGTACATCCATGAATGTTTAATATATGGTACTAAACAAGTAAATGGAATTTAACACCTGGCATTTGGTGAACACGACATTTATTTTTTCGCCTGCCCTAAAACAGAAACGGAACTTTCTTAGCTTCTGTATTTGTTTCTAAAATTATTTTAAGTCGTTGTAAAAAGAATGATACTCAGCATCTGTAAAAACCATAAAGAAAGGAGGCGCAGTCCATAAGAAATTAAAGAATTTTGCCTCGACGTCGACAGAAAAACGTTTCACTTGCCCACAGACAAATTATGGTATTCACAAAAATCTAACGAATAAATGTAGTCCATCTAGTTAACCTATTTTTTTTATTCACATAAATAAATAGACTTACACTCCATGATACAAAATTTACATAATAAAATTAACATTTTTACAATTTAACTGTGCACGCACGTGCACAGTAGAAAGGCTGTCATTTAAACTGTAAACTAACTTCTGTTTGCACTCTTAAAAATAACACAGATCTTTTTGATATTCAATATTTTTTCCCAAATTAATTAACGTTTGTTCAGTATTAGTTTTAGAAACAGTAAAGGGATAAGCGACTGATTATTACATTCAAGTTAAGCCAATTATATATAAAGTGATAAGATTTTCGAACAAAGTATAAACTCTGAACGAGTACACAAGTATTTCCTTATACAGAAATGTAAAACAAAAACAGAATACATAATTACAGAGTACAATATATCATCACCAATGCAGCTCAGAAATATTCTACAAGAACACTTACATGTTCTCAAAACACTTGCACAAAAAAAATACTTGTTTTAATACTAACAATTAACTCTCACATCTTCTAACTGTGCTCGATTTAAAATTACAAAACATATACACAGGAATAAAAAAAAAACAACTTAAATTTATGAAACAAATTTAATTTTTCTAATACAATAAAATAAATCAAACTTCAAAGTAAGGGCTTCCTAGAGGAAGTTTCTTTTGATTTAAAAACTGCTTGAATAAACAATTACCCAATTCACTTGTTAAAGACTTATTTTTCTGCACGATAAAAGCATAAGGAACGACGTACGCAACAATGATTACAACCAACTGCTAGAACTCGGTTTATATCATTCAAAGCAGTACGTATTAATGATAATCCAAGTTCACAGCCCCTAACTTGTTATATTGGTCATAAATGTCAGTTAAACTGATACACAGCGCTGATTACTCCAGACAAGAGTCAACTAATTTTTATACACCTTTAACCCTTAAAATGCTGCTCTAGGATATTAAAAACACCATTTTGGTTTTCTTGGTTAACACATGAAAGACGATTCGAAAGAAAGTAGCAATTTAAATTTCACTTATATATAACACACGCACACAGATTCTTGAACACTAGGTTCACAATTTCATTTTACAATCCTAAGTTCATGATTTCAAATTAAAACATGTCATTCGTTTAATCCACTCTGTCTTTAAACAAAGAAATGATACTAAGAAAAATAATAAACTTTAGCTCACTGGGTTCACAGATTACGAACATATTTCTACGCGGAAACAAAATGACCTTAACTGTATTATTCATGACTGTATTTTCATAAACATCTAAAGGGTCTCCGGAAATAGCTTCTTCGATTCCTATTAGTTTCTAGATCAATACAATATTGTTTTTTTTTGTTTTTTATACTGTCTGCAAATTGTGGAATTATCGTTGACATTATCAGAAACGTATGACAAGTTTAAAAAAAAAGAGCTTCCATCTTTGCCTCAACAAATATATCTAAAAACATATATAAACTTTTGTATATATTAACAGTTGTTTTAAATTTGTATCGGCAAATATGTACAATCGTTGTTATGTAAATAGTTAAAAAATAATTTCCGTTGAAAATCAAAGTACAATAAAACTTATTTCTGTATGTTTCAATGTTTTCGCCAGTCAGTAATTTTGGAAAGTACGTTTTCAAAATACAACAAATACGGATTATAAACCATTTACAATCTGAATTTTGACTAAAGTTAGTTATTGGAATAATAAAAAAAGAAAGAAAGAAATTAGTTTTGTGACTAATTTGTGCAATCTCACTGCAGCAATTTTACTACTGTATTGAGCTTTCAAATTCCTATCATCAGAAAAAGGGCACAAGACAAAATCATTCCAATGATCTGAAAATAAGATAAAAGGTATTTAGAAAAAAAATATATGATAAATAAATTTCATAGCTTTAATTAAAAAACAACAACAATAAAAAACAAGGGATGGGGGTCACAAAGTTAATACAAAAATGAAACTACACTGTACAGTAGTTAAAGATACTGTTTTAAGTGGATTTTCTCAAAACAAGAATCAGAAACTGGTGTAAAAATCTTGGTTTTATTTATATGTCTAAAACTGTAAAGAGTTTGTTTGTTTGAATTTATGCACAAAGCTACACAATGGACTATCTGTGCTCTGCCCACCACGGGTATCGAAA